CGTGTGTGTGCGTCTTTGGGTGGGTTCAGTCAAGGTTGTGTGGTTTGTGTAGATTGGAAGCAAAGTGAGCCGCCACCACCACCATGAGGTGGTGGCTAGCACTATCGACCACCACCTGCCGCCACAGTGCGGTGGTGTGTGTGTGTGTGTATTATTTACGTGAGTGTGTATGTTTGTGTATTTTTGTAAAATAGTAATAGTGTCGGTAATCAATAGAAAACTTGAAACCACCACCGTGAGGTGGTGGCTGCCGCCTCCTGCTGCCACCGGCCACCGTGTCGGGTGGCGGTGTGTTTGCTTTGTTGTGTTTGACTCGTTTGGGGGATGCTTGGTCAAAGTGGGCCTAATGAAGCCCTAATGGGCCCAAGAAAGCCTACTGACCTAATAAAACCCTAATGGGCCCAATGAGGCCCAAAGTGACCTAAAAGCCCAACCAATGGGCTAATAGGCTAGTATTGGGTTGGAAAACCTAAGGGCATATAACCCTAATTTGTGGGAATTGATCGGCACACACATGAGAATTATTTAATAAGCTTAAAATATTAATTAATGACCAATTGCAAGTTAACCTAAAGCAACGTTGGACTTAATGGATTAAGTCCTTAGTGGATTAAGTCCTTAATGGGTTAAGTAGGAACACTTAACCCTAATCGTCATTTCATGTGAAAACCCTAATTTCACATGGGCCTTGATTTGGGCCTTCTTATTGGGCTTTCGCGATTAGACTATTGGTGGGTCATCCAAGAACAAGTTAATGGACCAAAGTAATTAGATGGGCTTTAGGATAAGGCCCATGTGAGGACATGGGCCTAATTTGGAAAATTGGGGACATAGATGGGCCATAATTGGGCCTTTATGATTATGTGATATTGGGCCATGAGAATTGGATTGGAATAATTGGATGGGCCTTAAGGAAAAACCATGTAGAGGTCTGGGCCCAATTTGGAAAATTGGGCCATATGTCGGGCTTTGGCCCATGATTTGACTTTTGGGATTTTTGTAGTGTGAGTTGGACCTTGGGCTTGGACCCCAATTATTGATTGGGTATTGTTTGATGTGGACAGTTCGGGAATCTGTCAACCAGCAGCTGGAGCTTTACCTGCGGGACTTCAGCAGTGCCAAGTGAGTTGTCCTCACTATACTAAGGGGTCTAAGGCACCAAGGCCGGCCCATTGGATATGATATCCTAGTAGTTGGTATTATGTTGAGTTTGAGTTAGCTATGCATGTTAGTTTGATATCCTAGAGGGTAGGTCTGTAGGACTACCTGTGATATTGTCTGTTTATCTATATGTGTACTTATCTGTTGTATATCGACATTTATGTGGGATGGGTTGAGGTGATACTGCTTCGTGCGGTAACCAACAAACCCGGGAGCATTCTAGATAAGAGCTGAGGGCCAGGTGGGGCATGCCAGACTCGTACTGTGGGTTCGAGAGCATTTCAGATACGAGCTGAGGGAGACCCGTACTGTGGGCTAGATGGCAATCCAGATGTGAGATATGGGCCCGGAAGGCAATCCAGACTCACACTGTGGGCCCAGGGGTAATCTAGTCTGTAAAGCTGTGGACCCAGTACATGTTGTTATTTGTATATGTGTTATTTGCTTTGTATCGGTATTTTGGGGGAACTCACTAAGCTTCCGGGCTTACAGTTTCAGTTTATTGTTTCAGGTATATCAGGGGATCGTGGCAAGGCAAAGGCGTGATCGCACAGCTCCTCAATTTTTATGACTATCTTTCTGGGATTCTGGGATACTCTGATATAGAACTGTTTTGAAAACAAGTTGGTAATAACTGTTGGTTCCTAAATGTTTTAAAAAGTTTAAATTTAGCCTAATTTTTATGGGTGTTACAGTTTAAAATCTCGAAAACAACGTTAACGATTTACAATTGATGTACGAGGGTTAAAACAGTTAATGTGGTTGTCCTATAGTAATTGACGATGCTACTTAGTTAGTGAGGGTTTGGTCATCTAGTAGAAAGGCTTTGCAATGGGATGGTTTTACATCCTATAAAAATAATTGAATTATCTATAATGATTGTGGTGTGATTTTTCAAGTATGATGCTGTTACGGAGCCGCAATGGCCGTTAAAAATGGTGTAGAAGGAAATTGGAACTTTGAGTGGTCATTTTGACATATGATGCGTTCATCTTAGTTTGCTTTGCGTGAGGGTACCCATGTGATGTGAGACTTCTTGATCTCATGTTTGGGTTGAATCATTATTGTGAGGGTGGGGCGGGGGGGGGGGGTGGAGGGGGTGGGAGTTTGTTTTAGACTGTGTGTAGACAGCTTACAACGTATAAAAAAGTGAATATATATGCATTCGCCCACGAGATAGAAGCAAATCAAGCAAGATTGACTCTATATATCACGTCTAGTAGGCTAAACAAGATAGTAGGTATGCAACTGAAACAACAAAACTAGCATGTGTAAACTCATTTCAAAGAAATAAATTGTGTTTTTAAAAATAATTAACCAAGGGAGATCCCATGATTTCTAATGGTTTCGCAATGTTTAGGCCCAATTAAACAAAATTATCTAACATTCAACTGTAATGTATCGAATGCTCTCCACAACAAACCTTCCATCATGAAACCATAAAGATTTAAATACAACTTTTAACATGATACATATGATCTCTATAACCTAAAAATTGTTCTATCGTCTAATTATATAAACTTAAAATCACATTTAAAATAGAAAACTTCTTTGCCTATTTTTAAAGAATTACTCTTAAATTCACTTTGTTTTATAGAAAATAACATGAAAGTGTTCTTTACCCTCAAACACCAGCCTACAACTTAAATCCATAAAAACTAATGAAATAATATCTAAATAGAGAAAAGCCACGTGCTATTCAATCAAAAATAGTTTATTCTTATGAATTAATCAAACATAATAACGGAACTTGACGTATTGTAGGGTATTAAAAAATTACACACATGGATAGTTGGAAATTGGTAATGAAATTTGAACATTATCATTTAACAAAAAATTTGGAATAAATCGAGAATCACTCCGGAACATAATGTCTTGAAAGGTATTCCTAAATTTCGGATAGTGGGATATTGATATTGAAAAAAAAAATATGTCTATCGAGTCAGAATTGTTTTGATTGAAATTAGGGGTTTGTATCATATTAAACAAAATTTAATGAAGTTAGAATTTGTTGTGGGAGTGTAGATAAGCGCAAGTACGTATATATAAAGTTAACAATATATATAAGTTAACGTTTTCAGTGTATCGTGCATATATAGTTACGGCCTCATGCGTGTGTATAAATAACCATGCCAAATAAACATGTATTCAAATTTTAGTAGATTATATAATTGGTTTGGTCAATATTTCTACTTATGTAATGTTGTTCCTAACTTTTATGTTTTTTTTTCTTTTGCACCTAGACTATCTTTTTCATATTCTATTATACCACTAGCGTTCCTACACGACATTAAAAGAGTATATTACCCTATCATTTATTTTGTATTTTTCTAATTCTTATTTTTTATTTTATTTTGAGATTCACCATCAACCCTACTCCACTATGGCATCCACACACAACCACTCCACTCACAACAATTCGTTGGCAACGATTTGTTCTTCACCCCGACACAATTCTTCCATATATCAAATTTCGTTATAAAACGAATTAATATATTTATTTGTGTCGCACTCATCCCCAACTTATTTTTATGTTTTGAAATATAATTATTTTATTTAGCAAATGTCGTTTTAAAAGATTAAAATATTCGAATTAATAATGTAGTTGGTTATATTTTTGTAATAATATATTTTATTAAGCTTATATCACACAAAATGTAAATAGATATTAAAGCTAATAATTCAAGGATATTTTTGACAATCTATATAAATCTAAAAAAGGGAACTTACTGTGGTATATATTTAGTGCAAAAAAAATGGTGTACGGTATGGTGAAATAGTATTATGACATTTTTTACACTATTCTGATGTAAAAGTTAGTAAAGTTAGTGTCGGACTGTGAAATTTAAAGACACTCGAATCTATAAATTGCTAGCACAAACAAACAATATAGAGATAGAAATTATTACAAGATAACTAAGAAGTTGGAATCAAATTTTAAAATATTGAAAATTGAATAGTAAACCGCACCATCTCAACGGCACGTGTCAACCCGCATCAAAGCCTACGTACGGGGAACGTTGATTGCGGAATACTAGCCAAAGGACTCTTAATGTCATTGTTCTATATTTGTACCCAATGTATATGTACAGCTTGATATACAGTACATTTACTTTGATGCAAGAACCAAGGGGTTAAAACGTAATATGATAAGGTCATGATTAATTATATGTGGAATTATGAATAATATTAGGTACTAACTAAGAAATATGGAGTATCAGTTATATTAACTTGATTTTTTACCTGCATGTGTAATATACAAGAGAAATATGCGGCTAGATTGGTAAAGTTTGAAACTATTATTTTTACAGAATCAATGGAAAATATTTTCCCCAAATAAAAGAATAGTGGCTGTGATTTTAGATATACTTTATAAATCAACAATGAGACAAAATTAGACACAACGTGCACCATAATGGACAAAATTTAGTATGTCCGTGCACTCTTAATTACTTGGTTTTCTTAAAAGGGAAAGTGAATATCCAAAGGATGTTTTTTATTGGCCGTAGAAGAACATCTGTCACTTGAAAATAAATACAACAGAGTTGATTATTATCTTGGCTTTCTGTTAAGCAAAAGGCTATATTAGCACAACCCATTTGCCTTGCTACTCATCCAACAGCATTGTAAACAATAACTAGAAACATCTAAATGGCAATGAAGAATTTCCATTTTGTTGTTCTGTTCTTGGTTCTCCTGGCAACAACTTCATTGGAGATCAATGCTCAGACTTGCAAACCAAGTGGTGGTATCCGGGGAAGAAAACCGCCTCCAGGAGAATGCAACCGTGAGAACAACTCGGATTGTTGTGTCCAAGGTAAGTTTTACACCACGTATACATGCTCCCTCCAGTGACAGGCGATACTAAAGCAACACTGACAATAAACAGTTTCCAAAAGGGAGGTGATGGTGGTGGTCCGTCGGAGTGTGACAACCGATACCACTCTGATGACACACCAGTTGTGGCGCTGTCAACTGGATGGTACAAGGGAGGGGATAGGTGCCACAAGTATATTACCATCAATGGAAATGGGAGGAGTGTAAAGGCAATGGTTGTGGATGAGTGTGACTCTACTATGGGGTGCGATGGTGATCATGACTATCAGCCACCTTGCCCTAATAATATTGTTGACGCTTCCAAAGCAGTGTGGAAGGCGTTAGGGGTATCCGAGGATAACTGGGGAGATTTGGATATTACTTGGACAGAGTGATGTTAATCTAGCTCTCCTTTTAAAACATCAAATACTATTTCTGTTTCTGTTTCTTGTGGATATTGTAATCTGTAAAGGTATTGATGTAACTATATATACTAATGACTAGAGGTTCACACCAAACTTATCAGCACCAATCCATTCAAACCTATATATAGATATACTATGTTATACAGATATTAACGTACCTTTAGATGTATATGGATTCAAACAACAACCGATATGACACACAGAGACACAAAAAACCATTCAGTGCTATAATCTTTCATGGTAGAATCAATTCCACAACAAAATTTTTGACTACTTTTTCCAACTCATATGAAGCAGCCCTTTATGCAATCAGACAACACCCCGCACCATAATCACGGGCGACACCAACCCGTAACAGACTCGACCTGATTATTATCAAAACAAAACCACAATAACAGTAAAATTATCACCCATAGGTATTCGCAACACCGACAGCTTCTTGATTTGATACCACATGCCAAATCCCAGCACATCCGATAATCATAAACTCATCATCTTCGCAGAACACCATTGTCTCACTTCTTTTTTTCTAAGAAGGGATGATTTTCTAACCGATTGGTAACTCCATATGCCCAGCCTCCTAGGGCCCGCATGACCGCCAGCTCACAGTTGAGATGCCCCTCTTCAGTATACACACCTAATTCTTCCACTCTCTTCTTCTCATCTAAATAACATGGCATATCTTCTTGTGACAATGGAATTGCGATTCCATTCCGACACAAGACTGCAGTAGATTGATGGAGACAAAACGAAAGCCAGTCGACCATGCTTAAGAAGACTCCCGGTCATGGTTTTCCGCTAAGCGTGTGATTCTCCTCGTAGAATATCACAATTGATTCATGCTTGTTTTTCAAAAACAGTATTTCCTGTTTTCTATTTTTGTTCTCACAAGAGATTCTCGGGAGAGCATCAATAATGACTGATGCTTTTATAGTTATAGCAATATGTGTTTTCACTTTCTTATTGAGCAGAGAGTGAGCGATACTCTTATCTCTTGGAAAGAAGTGATAAAATACCATTTCTCTTTACTCAAAAGCATGTGAAAGTTGTCTTCTAAGGGTTTAAAATCTCGAAAACCGGCGTTAACGATTTACAATTGATGTACGAAGATTAAAACAGTTAACGTGGTTGTCCCATAGTAATGGATGATGCTACTTTAGTTAGTGAGGGTTTGTTCAGCCTAGTAGAAAGGCTTTGCAATGGGAAGGGTTTACATCCTTTAAAAATGATTAAATTATGTATAATGATTGTGGGGCTCATAATATTGAAAGAATAATTTCATGGCGTGATTTTTCAAGTATGATGTTGTTACGGAGCCGCAATGGCCGTCAAAAATGGCGTAGAAGGAAAATGGAACTTGGAGTGGTCATTTTGACATATGAAGGGATGATTTTCTAACCGATTGGTAACTCCATATGCCAGCCTCCTAGGGCCGGCATGACCGCCTGCTCACTATTGAAATGCCCATCTTCGGTATGCACACCTAATTATTCCACTCTCTTCTTTTCATCTAAATAACATGGCATATCTTCTTGTGACAATGGAATTGCGATTCCATCCCGACATAAGACTGCACTAGATTGATGGAGAAAAACGAAAGCTAGTCGACCATGGTTAAGAAGACCCTCAGTCATGGTTTTCCGTTAAGCGTGTGATTCTCCTCGTAGAATATCACGATTGATTCATGCTTTTTTTACAAAAACAGTATTTCATGTTTTCTTTGTTGTTCTCACAAGAGATTCTCAGGAGAGCATCACTAATGATTGACGCTTTTCTAATTTAAGCAATATGTGTTTCCACTTTCTTATTGAGCAGAGAGTGAGCGATACTCCTATCGCTTAGTGGATGCTGGAAAGAGGTGCAAAGGCCATTTCTCTTTACTCTAAAGCTTGTGAAACTTGTCTTCTAAGGGTTTAAAATCTCGAAACCGGCGTTAACGATTTACAATTGATGTACGCGGATCAAAACAGTTAATGTGGTTGTCCTATAGTAATTGACGATGCTACTTTAGTTAGTGAGGGTTTGGTCGGCTAGTAGAAAGGCTTTGCAATGGGAAGGTTTTACATCCTTTAAAAATAATTGAGTTATCTATAATGATTGTGCGAGCTCATAATCTTGAAAGAATAATTTCATGGCGTGATTTTTCAAGTATGATGCTGTTACAGAGCCGCAATGGCCGTCAAAAATGGTGTAGAAGGAAAATGGAACTTGGAGTGGTCATTTTAACATATGATGTGTTCATCTTAGTTTGCTTTGCGTCATGGTACCCATGTCTATGTGAAACTTCTTAATCTCATGTTTGGGTTGAATCATTATTGTGGGGGGGGGGAGTATGGGTTGAGACTGTGTAGACAGCTTAGAACGTATAAAAAAGTGAATATATATATATGCATTCGCCCACGAGATAGATGCAAATCAAGCAAGATTGACTCTATATATCACGTCTAGTAGGCTAAACAAGATAGTAGGTATGCAACTGAAACAACAAAACTAGCATGTGTAAACTCATTTCAAAGAAATTAATTGTGTTTGTAAAAATAATTAACCAAGGGAGATCCATGATTTCTAATGGTTTCGCAATGTTGAGGCCCAATTAAACAAAATTATCTAACATTCAACTGTAATGTATCAAATGCTCTCCACAACAAGCCTTCCATCATGAAACCATAAAGATTTAAATACAACTTTTAACTATGATACATATGATCTCTATAACCTAAATTAATTTTTCTATCGTCTAATTATATAAACTTCCAATCACATTTAAAATAGAAAACTTGTTTACCTATTTTTAATGAATTACTCTTAAGTTCACTTCGGTTTATAGAAAATAACATGAAAGTGTTCTTTACCCTCAAACACCAGCCTACAACTTAACTCCAATAAAAACTAATGAAATACTCATCCAAATAGAGAAAAGCTACGTCCCTATTCAATCAAATATAGTTTATTCTTATGAATTAATCAAACATAATAACGGAACTTGACGTACTGTAGGGTATTAAAAAAATTACACACATGGATTGTTGGGAATTGATAATAAAATTTGAACATAATCAGTTTAACGAAATTTGAATAAATCGAGAATCACTCCGGAACATAAAGTCATGAAAGGTATTCCTAAATTTCAGACAGGATAGTGGGATATTGATATTGAAAAAAAAAAACATGTCTATCGAGTCAGAATTGTTTTTATTGAAAGTAGGGGTTTGTATCATATTAATCAAAATTTAATGAAGTTAGAATTTGTTGTGGGAGTGTAGATAAGCGCAAGTACGTATATATAAGTTAACGGTTTTCAGTGTATCGTGCATATATAGTTAACGGCCTCATGCGTGTGTATAAAATAACCATGCCAAATAAACATGTATTCAAATTTTAGTAGATTATATTAATTGGTTCGGTCAATATTTCTACTTATGTAATGTGTTCATAACTTTTATGTTACCCTTATCATATTATTTTGTATTTTTCTAATTCTTATTATTTTTTATTTTATTTTGAGATTCACCATCAACCCTACTCCACTATGGCATCCACAACAATTCGTTGGCAACGAATTTGTTCTTCACCCCGACACAATTCTTCCATATATCAAATTTCGTTATAAAAACAAATTAATATAATTTATTTGTGTCGCACTCATCCCCAACTTATTTTTATGTTTTGAATATAATTATTTTATTTAGCAAATGTCATTTTAAAAGATTAAATAATTCGAATTAATAAGTAGTTGGTTATATTTTTGTAATAATATATTTTATTAAGCTTATATCACGTCTAGTAGGCTAAACAAGATAGTAGGTATGCAACTGAAACAACAAAACTAGCATTTGTAAACTCATTTCAAAGAAATTAATTGTGTTTGTAAAAATAATTAACCAAGGGAGATCTCATGATTTCTAATGGTTTCGCAATGTTGAGGCCCAATTAAACAAAATTATCTAACATTCAATTGTAATGTATCGAATGCTCTCCACAACAAGCCTTCCATCATGAAACCATAAGGATTTAAATACAACTTTTAACTATGATACATATGATCTCTATAACCTAAATTAATTGTTCTATCGTCTAATTATATAAACTTCCAATCACATTTAAAATAGAAAACTTGTTTGCCTATTTTTAATGAATTACTCTTCAGTTCACTTCGTTTTATAGAAAATAACATGAAAGTGTTCTTTACCCTCAAACACCAGCCTACAACTTAAATCCAGTAAAAACTAAAGAAATACTCATCCAAATAGAGAAAAGCCACATCCCTATTCAATCAAATATAGTTTATTCTTATGAATTAATCAAACATAACAACGGAACTTGACGTATTGTAGGGTACTAAAAAAATTACACACATGGATAGTTGGGAATTGATAATGAAATTTGAACATAATCAGTTTAACGAAATTTGAATAAATCGAGAATCACTCCAGAACATAAAGTCTTGAAAGGTATTCCTAAATTTCAGACAACATAGTAGTATATTGATATTGAAAAAAAAAAAACATGTCTATCGAGTCAGAATTGTTTTGATTGAAATTATGGGTTTGTATCATATTAATCAAAATTTAATGAAGTTAGAATTTGTTGTGGGAGTGTAGATAAGCGCAAGTACGTATATATAAGTTAATGGTTTTCAGTGTATCGTGCATATATAGTTAACGGCCTCATGCGTGTGTATAAAATAATCATGCCAAATAAACATGTATTCAAATTTTAGTAGATTATATTAATTGGTTTGGTCAATATTTCTACATATGTAATGTGTTCATAACTTTTATGTTACCCTTATCATATTATTTTGTATTTTTCTAATTCTTATTATTTTTTATTTTATTTTGAGATTCACCATCAACCCTACTCCACTATGGCATCCACAACAATTCGTTGGCAACGAATTTGTTCTTCACCCCGACACAATTCTTCCATATATCAAATTTCGTTATAAAAACAAATTAATATACTTTATTTGTGTCGCACTCATCCCCAACTTATTTTTATGTTTTGAATATAATTATTTTATTTAGCAAATGTCATTTTAAAAGATTAAAATAATTCGAATTAATAATGTAGTTGGTTATATTTTTGTTGTAATATATTTTATTAAGCTTATATCACGTCTAGTAGGCTAAACAAGATAGTAGGTATGCAACTGAAACAACAAAACTAGCATTTGTAAACTCATTTCAAGAAATTAATTGTGTTTGTAAAAATAATTAACCAAGGGAGATCTCATGATTTCTAATGGTTTCGCAATGTTGAGGCCCAATTAAACAAAATTATCTAACATTCAACTGTAATGTATCGAATGCTCTCCACAACAGCCTTCCATCATGAAACCATAAAGATTTAAATACAACTTTTAACTATGATACATATGATCTCTATAACCTAAATTAATTGTTCTATCGTCTAATTATGTAACATCCGGATTCCCAGGTATCTTATTTTAAGTATTTATATTGAATTTTAGAGAGCGACTCGGCGAGTAGGCTCTCATACTCGTCGAGTAGGATCGCGCATTTCTGGTCTGATTTAATGAAGGACTCGACGAGTCGATGCGTGGACTCGGCGAGTCCGCGCTGTTAAGTGAAACCCTAATTCTCGGGGCTTGTGCCCTATTTAAAGGCCTTTATAGCCTCCATTGCGGCCACTTCACCCCTGAGAAACCCTAGAGAGAGAAAGAGAACGTTTGTGGTGCAAGAGAAAGGCTAATTCACCATTTCTTGTGTGTTTTAGCAAAAGAGAAGTAGTTTCCAACAAGAGG